TGGACTTGTAACAATGTAAACAAACAAAAGAAATGGTGGATTATTTTTACCTGAGATAGCTGAGAGCAGACATACGGTAGAGACAAGTGAAGACAAGTACGTGCAGTCCTATTGTGTAGAAGAATGCAAACGTCCTCGCGTACCTGAAACATCCAATCATGTGGATCGGAATTGAATTACCCGATAATACTGACATATGATGAAATTAAGAGTGAAAGGCTTACTTGTTTCCTAAAAGGAAACGACCACTGCTAAGCGTAATCCGATCTCTGATTCCCAGTTCTTTGATCCGTTGCTCTCTTTCCTATTGAACACATATCGTTGCATATACAAAAGCCGAATGACAAAAAAAATCTAAGACTTGTGATGATAGTAGCAGAATGTTTAATTTTAATACCTTTTTGGAGAATGCTGCAAATGGGTTGATGTCATCCTCGTAAATTTTCTTGTATTTTGATTCAACATCCGAGCTGAATCCACTTTCAAGATCTTCCACATACTGAGGTTGGAGAACATATCAATCAACAGTGGAAGAAAAAACCCGAACATGAGACTGAAAATGGTTTAAGAGAAATGTAATGTATGATAGAAAATACCTTTTTCGATCCCCGAGAAACAACTTTATCGTGGTTGTAGTCCTGGACATAACGGATTTTGCCATAGAGTTTGACGTTGTCAGCTTTGGTCTTCTCCAATTCGTCTGTGAGAAAACCTATCTTCTCTTTCAATCGCCTTATTTCCTGCAGTATTAAGAGAACCCATAATATTCAGTTCAAATGAGTATAAACAGAGATGGAGACGACAAAATGAAGAGGATCTTTTAAATGTACTACTGTACCTCTTCTGTTTCCCGCAACCGTGCGCGGAACCTATCTCTTTGGCTGCAGATAACTTTCAGCATTGAGCTTTGATCTTGATCCGTTGGAACATGTTTTTGGTCCATAGGCTAATCAAAAGGAAACAAAAATGATAAAGAGCAGGAATTAGTGATAAGGTTATTAGTTGTGAGGTATATAGTATACAATATCTTGAAATTACCCCATATTTATATCAAAACTTTCAGATGTTTTGGCATCGAATTTAAGAGTGTAGCATGAGAAATTACATGATTCATATACATAGGTCAGATAGAAGTACCTCAGACTGCTCAGCCACACCTGCTTCTGAGAACTCCCACTCATCAAATAGAGCACCTTTTTGCTCTTTTGAACTGTAACCCTGTGAGAAGTAAGAAGGTTTTAATTATAATCCAATACTTTGATCTGGTTTCTCCTCTTGAGTAGCACATTTACAATATTTTTTTTGTGTGTCTATAGCATAAAAAATCATCATTATCGCAGCAAACAACCTAAAACACAAATACACATACATAAAAGGATATCCGAACACAACAACAAACATATTGAGAAGAGATACCTTAAAATGGTAACTACACACTCTTGCGTACCTTTAAAATATCGTCCTCCAGCTTCTGTATCAGTCTTTGTTGTTCATTAACCTTAGCTGTCAGTTCTTCTCCCTTGGCTTCAGCCTTCTCAAGCAAGGAAGTTTTCTCAGAAAGTTGAACCTGGATGAAGTGGTATTAGTCGACCAATGACATAGACTTGGGTATGTTCATGTCACTGAAAATGGAAAGAGCAATGAAGAGACACTGTAGAGGTTATATACCTTTAATTGAGTGACCTCATGTTCCATTTTTCTGTTTTTATCAAGAAGAAGCGACTCCATTTTGCTCATCTCTTCGCCAGTGGTAGCAGCATCCCAGTCTTCAGCCTCAATTGAATTGTAACCTACAGCCTAATACACAATAATTGCATTACGAGGAAGAACAGGGCAATGATCGGCGACAATAAGTCAACTTAAGGAAGTACAGAAAAAAGAGAAGAAACCATAAATACCTGCAGAATTTTCACTTTTTTGCGCAGATCATCGACTAATTTTGCTGATGGTCTCTCTTGAAGCTCTTTCTTCATCTCTTCAATGATCGTATCCTAGTTAATGAAATGACGCATGCCAATATTAGACATGGAAAGCGAGAGGAAACTAATTTCCAAAAAAGGTAAAAATTCTCAGCATAAAAGACAAAACGTAGCACAAATTTTACCTTTTTATTGAGCACCGAATTCAATTTCTTTATCTCAGCAACGTGATGCTCTCGCTCATTTGCTAATGCTGTCTCAACATTGTGAATTTCCATATTAAGCTCGGAAATAATCTTCTCTTTTGCAGTTAAAGAGTTCTCCAGCATATTATTTGAATCAACATTATCACTGCAATGAAAGAGCACAACAAAAACATAAAAACAAAGCAAAAACTTAGTCAAAACCTATTTGAAATTATGTTCCTCGTTAAATGGATGCATAAGTGTAAGCTACCTCACCTTTTCTTGTTTTCAGTATCTTCATTAGCTGTTTGCAGCTGAGAACGCAGATGTCCCTGTTACAAACCAATAACAAAATTAGGACGCGCAAAAAAAAACCCAGGTTATATCTTCGGGCATTCCCTGAATTCAAACATGACATCCAGAGAGCATTATGTGAAAGACCTTTTCCCTCTCAAGAGTAAGGAGTCGGGTTTGAGCACGCTCCACTTCATCCATCAATAGACTAACTTCAGACTGCTTCGCCGCCGTTTCTTCATCTAATGTTAGAGATAAAAGTGACGTATATTAACAAGACAAGCAGGAACAAAGATAGAATAAACAGTGGAATGCAAACTGAAAATTTTATGGATGACTTGTGATCTAAAATGTAAGGGACACCATTGCATTATGAAGGCACAAAATGATTCGCTATATTGAGGCTCAATGGCCAACCTGATATAGCACGGAGTTCAAAAAGTTGGCTTTGTGCTAGCTCATGCAGTTTTTGCATAGTGGAGACACTGTCTTTTGCTTGCCTTAACTGATCTTGCAAAGCTTGCTCCCTATCCTTCAAAAGCTCCAACGTTTTCTGGTTTTCCTCAGCCAGATTCCGTTGCTTGATTTCAACAACCTCTTTGATTTTTTCTTCCATCTGAATCCAAATACAACAACATGATACCGCAGTTAATCTTTGACAGTTATCAGTTTACAAGACCACAAAATAGTATCTCTGTAAAGCTCGTCTTTATTGCTCAGTGTATAAGTTTACATTTGACCTCCTCGAATAGACTCAAGCATTCAAGGAAGCTGTGCTTTACTGACAGTTACATATGTTTAGTTTTGTACCTAAATCAACTAGAATAATAGGGGAAAAGCAAGCTGACCTGCTGCTCAAGCTGTCGGTTCCGTTCTTCTAGTCTTCTTATTGTGGCCTGCTGATTTTTCAGATGAGTCGCTTCTGTCCTATATTCCTCAAGTTCAACTTTCATTTTCCGATTCTCAGATTCCACTTCAGATAATTTACGATCTTGCTCCTGGAATACAGCAATTAGTAAGTTCTCAGGCTAGAGGGCTTTAGGTTTTTCATCATGTTAACATAAAGTAAGTGGAGAATTACAGCAATGGAAGCGAGAGCAGGGAACGGATCTGGTGCTTCATAGAGTTTCTGATAGATGTTTAGGAAAGCATTCTCCCCAAACTTGGCCCTCTTTGTAATGTTATCTACTTCTTCTTGATATCCCTTGAGCAACGAATTAAACATACTAAGTTTGTCCTCAGGAGATGCTTTTTTGAAGTCTGTTACCAAGATAAACCATAGAATATGTTTACATCTCCCATTATCTTCATCTAACTGAATGGCGTATACACCATGAACTCATCCTAGGATTAAAAAAAGTTTAAGTGTTCAGCAAAATAAAAGGTGAAACAAAAAGTACCCCGTGTGCTCTCTGCAAGCTTTCGCCGATTCTTCTGGCTGTTTTCTTGATTTTCCGCTATTCTAAGCCCTTGCTCGTCAAGCAGACTCTTCTCCTTCTCCAAATCAAATTCTGAAACAAATCGTTAAAAGACCTGGTGAATCATTTGTGAAAGGCTTTATCAAACCAGATAAACAGCAAGCAACCAGCACGACCAGTTCTCGAATTCAGACTGGTTTCAGGTCACAAATACGAAAGTCGGATTACGGAGATGTAACTAGCTATCACCTATCAGCACTCTCTCAAAAACTAAACAAAAATGAGTTGATAACTTTGAAAGCAATCCAAGTAAAATTTCTCAATCCGATCACATTAAACTATCATTTCATTCTCCAGAACATCCACAGGAAATCTCATCAATTCTCCAATTTGATTGAGTCTTACTTACTACTTCAACAGAATCCAAAATAAACCTAACCCACGAATCTCTCCTACTACACAACAAGCTCGTTTCCCCTCAGCTTCACCGCGACTCGAAGCAAACGAATAAACAGTCGTCGACACACGAATCTGAAGAAACAAACCTTTCCAAAAATTGGTGAC